GCCTGTGGTCCCAGCTACTTGGGAGGCGGAGGCAGGAGACTCGCTTGAGCCCAGGAGTTGGAGGTTGCTGTGAGTTGTGATGCCACAGCACTCTACCCAGGGGGATAGCTTGAGGCTCTGTCTCAAAAAAAAAAAAGATGTAAATGTGGAACATCAGGACGCCTTACATTTAAAATAATTCTAAGATAAGGGGAAAAAAAAGAAACCCCCAAACAAAAATTCTAATAAAATAACAGAACCAGACCAGATTCACGTTCCTTTAAACAATAAAAATATTAAAATAATGGGTTTCCACTCCTAATACAACGAAAAAGAAACATTTTTTTCTCCAGCCTAGGTAAATAAGACAAATTATTCATTCCACATACTTGCTTTTCACCTCATCATCCGATTTAAAAATGTAACTAACAAGGAAAGGACACATCAGACGCTCAGTAACATCAAGTTCACAAAATTATGGGTATTTCATTGTCCCCGGATCTCGAATTTATTTTATCATTTTAAGAGATTACATTAACAATGACTCTCAGATACATGAACCTAATTGTTGGAAACGGAACTCAAAATTCACTCTCTATAAAATAACTGCAAAAGGGACCAAATATAAAGTAACTCTAGCCAATGCGCATGCGTCTTCGGCCGAGAGGATTTCCGGGAAACCAGCCAATCATATTCCCAGAATAAACGGCGAGGCGGGCATTTTCAACCGGATAAACTAACTGGCTGCAGTCCCGTCGTCTAGTTCCAGTTTTGTCCCAAGGAAACCGATGGGATTCTGAACCCGGGCGGTTGAGTTGCTGCAGCTACCACTTTCTTAGTGAAGCCTTTGGTAGTTGTCGGCCTAATGAGAGGACGGCAAAGAACACTTTTCCAGACGTGGGGCTCAAGCATCTCCCGATCCTCTGGGGCTTCTGGTTGCAGCACAGGAACTGAGCGACCTCCCAGCCCTGGCGGCTCCCGGGAGCCTTTGCCAGCAACCGCGGAGGCTCAGCAGGAGTCGGACGACGATGTGTTGCTGGTCGCGGTATACGAGGCTGAGAGGCAACTAAGTCTAGAGAATGGCGGGTTCTGCACCTCAGCTGGCGCCCTGTGGATTTACCCCACCAATTGCCCGGTCCGGGACTACCAGCTGCGCATCTCCCGGACTGCTTTGTTCTGCAACACGCTGGTGTGTCTGCCTACTGGGCTAGGAAAGACCTTTATTGCCGCCGTGGTGATGTACAATTTCTACCGCTGGTTTCCTTCGGGCAAGGTGGTCTTCATGGCCCCCACGAAACCCTTGGTGACACAGCAGATCGAGGCTTGCTACCAGGTGATGGGTATCCCACAGTCCCACATGGCCGAAATGACAGGTATCTTAGACAGAATGGGCTAATTTGAAATTAAAAGCTGGGTATCCAGGGTAAAGTATGCATTCTGATAGAAATAGAGCAAATTCCTGACCCATGCGCCATAGTTGCAAGTCCACACTCTGCGTATATCCCCGCCCTTAAAACATCATCTGTTAATACTTAAAGCAAGTCCAACACAGGTGAATAGGGTTGCTTTATTCCGTCTTCTGAGAATGTCCGTGCCTTGTTAGAGTATTTTGAAGCTATTATGCGTGTATATCCCATGGGTAACTGAACATGATGTTTCTTGGCATTCTTCCCAAGAAGGATTTCCTGGTTGAAGAATTTGCCTGTATTTAAATATTAAACTCTTTTGTAGGAATCCTCTAAAAACAATCAAGTTGTGGTCTTATTTAAGTGCCAGCTTTGAATTTGGACCACAGCAGAGCTTTTTTTTTTTTTTTTTTAATTTCAGAATGTTACAGAGGTACTAATGTTTTGGGTACATGCTTACTTTTGTACAGTTTGAGTCAAGGTTATAAATGTGTCTCTTCCCCTACACTAGAGCTTTAAATTGAAAACATTCCAATGAATTGTCAAATTATTCTCATGCAGATTGCCAAAGCATGTGTACATTCTGAAAATAGGCCAGACTATTTATATTTTACAGATAGCAGCCTGAAGTTTAGAATGTCACTTTTACTTGCAGGGTCTACTCAAGCTCTCACCAGGAAAGAAATATGGTGCAATAAGAGGGTCCTTTTTCTTACACCTCAGGTCATGGTAAATGACCTTTCTAGAGGAGTCTGTCCTGCTGTTGAAATAAAGTGCTTAGTTATTGATGAAGCTCATAAAGCTCTCGGAAACTATGCTTATTGCCAGGTAATGATTTTGTTAAATGATGTTTTGTAGTGTAACCATACTATTAAGGGGTATTTTGGAGAATAGTTATCAGGGGTGGAAGTTATTGACAGTATTGTTATAAAACACCTTACGTCTCTTGTCTCAGAACAGATGGTGGTAGGACATACCTGTGCTTTAATTCATCCATTCAGTTCACTGTTGATGCTGTGTTGTGGTTTTCTTTTTTATCCTAATGATTATTCCTGTCAGATAAGGATCACGAGAGCCTGGCCGTGGTTGGGTCTGTGTAAGATGTGGGTGGAATTTTGGAACTAATAATGCAAAGGTTGGATATGTAGTGTCATCTTTGATAGCTGAATAAAATAATAATTAACTGTTAGTGTTATTAGGGTTAAATGACATAAGGTATCGAACATCCCTAACAGAGTGCCTTCTAGTTGAGTACTCTAGGAATAAAATATAAAGTGAAGTGGTAGGATGTGGTTGCACTAAGTGTAATTGACTTTCATTTCTGTTTCCCTCTTCTTTTAAGGAGGACTTTGCCTCTTCTACTTAAAGGCCAGATCATGAAAGCATCTGTATTTTATGCTTAACAGTTTGAATGTACTTTGTAGGCCATAGGGAATACAGATGGTAGAGACTCATTAAAAAATGTATGGGTGGGCGGGGCGCAGTGGCTCACACCTGTAATCCTGGCACTCTGGGAGGCTGAGGTGAGTGGATTTCCTGAGCTCAGGGATTTGAGACCAGCCTGAGCCAGAGCAAGACGTCATCTCTAAAAAATAGTGGGGTGTTGTGGTGGGCGCCTGTAGTCCCAGCTACTTGGGAGGCTGAGGCAAAAGAATCGTTTGAACCCAAGAGTTTGAAGTTGCTGTGAGCCATGGTACTCTACTGAGGGTGACAAAGTGAGACTCTGTCTCAAAAAAAAAAAGTATATTTGAGGTAGAACTTAATATTTGAAAGATATTAGAAGGGAGAGGGCTAACTGCAGAGTATCTACTGAGGGACAGGAGAAATGTGGGATGAGGATTCAGACTTAGCAAACTGTGAAGATTGTGAGCGTTCTGGAAGCAGAGCAGATTTGAGGGAGTGTGGAAAGAGTGCAATTTTAGATGTGTTAAGTTTGAGGTGTCTGTGGTAAATCCAGCTCTAGATGTCCATTGGGCAGTAGGTGATAAGAGTGTGGATCTCACGGAGTTCTGAGCGGTAGATACAGATTTAGAAATTATCAGCATACAAGTGGTAGTTAAAACTATGATAGATTAAGAATAGAAGAGGGAAAGAGAAGGGAAAGTTGATTTTATTTAGTGCAAAGACACAAATTTTGTGCTAGTTTGTGAATTTGTAAAGTAGTTTCTGTTGGGGACTTAATATATGATTGTATTATATCTGTATTAGGGAGAACTAGACTTTCTTCCTCTTCCATTTGACCTTGATGTAGCCCTTGGGGGTTTTGATCTGCTTCTGTATTTAGCCTTGATGTTGTAGCTTTTTATAGAAAAGAAGCCCTAATGTGTGTTTTTTTCTTTTACATATTGATCCAAAGGCATCTAATATATTATTAGTATCTGTAAAAGTAAACTGACCTTCAGATAATATAACTGGTCATTGTTCCAGTCGCTAGCCAACCAATATGCCAATTAAGGAATAATGATAATGGACCATACATAATAACTTGTGTAAAGAACAACTGTTTTGTTTTTTTTTTTGTTAGACAGATGATATTAATGACTTTGTCTTTTTTTAAGGTTGTGAGAGAACTACTCAAATACACAAATCACTTTAGAATCTTGGCTCTTACTGCCACACCCGGTAGTGATATAAAGGTAAGTAAAATGTTTATCTAGTAACATTTAAGAAAATAAGATCTTTCATATGGGGCCAGATCAGTTCTCCATATTTTGCTGTGTATAACATGTATATTTCTTTGCCCAAAGTTTTGGCAGAAAAATATAGATGCACATTATTCATGGGTGGTGTGGCTCAGGAGCAGGGGAGTCCAGTAGGCATCTTGGAACTGCTGTGCCCTGCTGCTCGGGCCCACCAGTGGCTGGGGTCAGTTTAGAAGGATCTGGGATTTGATGGGAGCAGGTGGGAGCTGCCTCTTCAGAGTGCTGAAATCACGGGAGGGTGTGATGGGGAGTGCTGGTGAGGCAGTTGTGTCCATGTGGGTTGAGGGCCGAGTTCTGAGGCCTGGCCATGCAGAGGGGACTGGGAGTCAGCCTGCTGAGTGGCCTGCGTAGTTCCTGTCCCACCATTGACATGTGTGCCCATCTCTTCCCTGGCCTATGATGTGGTGGGAAAGAAGGGCTCCTGGTACAGAGGGAAGGGGTAGCCTTCACAGAGCATGCATCTGTGGGAGTGTGGTACAGTCTGTTCATTTACTAGGGAAGTGTTTTAGCCCTTCCCAGATGTGTCTCTCCTGGCTGAAAGCTAGACACTTTCTTGATGGTTGTTTTCCTAAAAGTTTGGGTCATGATACATATGTGTATTATACGTGGGAGTGCAGTATGTATGGCAAAAGACAGTATATGCTTTGACATTAGGATATATATATATATATATATGTTTGAGACAGAGTGTCAAGCTGTCTCCCTAAGTAGAGTGCTGTGGCATCACAGCTCACAGCAACCTCCAGCTCTTGGGCTTAAAGCGATTCTCTTACCTCAGCCTTCCAAGTAGCTGGGACTACAGGCACCTGCCACAACGCCTGGCTATTTCTTTGTTGCTGTTGTCATTGTTGCTTTAGCTGGCCCAGGTCAGGCTTGAACCCACCAGCCTCGGTATATGTGGCTGGTGCCCTATCCACTGACATTGGGATTATAACATTACCTGTAACTTGGCCAGCTTTTCTTCTGTGATTGCAAGAATATGTTTAAATTAGTTGTTTTCAGATTTCAATGTGCATAAGAATCATCTGAAGTTATTTGTTAAAGATACTGGTTTTTTTTGTTTTTTTGTTTTTTTTTTTAAGAGACAGAGTCTTACTTTGTCACCCTTGGTAGAGTGCTGTGCTGTCACAGCTCACAGCAACCTCAGACTGCTGGGCTCAAGCAATTCTCTTGCCTCAGCCTCCCAAGTAGCTGGGACTACAGGTGCCTGCCACAATGCCCAGACAGTTTTTGGTTGTCGTTGTCATGGTTGTTTGCCAGGCCCAGGCTGGATTTGAATCGGCCAGCTCTAGTGTATGTAGCCAGTGCTCTAGCTGCTGAGCTACAGGCTCTGGGCCTATTCCTGGTGCTTTTAATCTTAACTTGCTTAAGATGATGTCTTCTTGGTTTCTCCATTTTAATTGACAAAGTAATTTTTTTTTTCCCTTTTGTAATTGGTAAGTACCTTATGGGGGAGATACTGTGAGATTACATAAACACCTTGTTTTTTTGTTTTTTTTTTGAGACAAAGCCTCAAGCTATCACCCTGGGTAGACTGCTGTGGCATCACAGCTCACAGCAACCTCTAACTCCTAGGCTTAAGCGATTCTCCTGCCTCCGCCTCCCAAGTCGCTGGGACTACAGGCACCCGCCACAATATCAGGCTATTTTTTGGTTGCAACTGTCATTGTTATTTTGGCGGGTCTGGGCTGGATTTGAATCCGCCAGCTTAGGTGTTGTATGTGGCTGGCGCCTTAGCTACTTGACCCATAGGTGCTGAGCCTTTTTTTTTTTTTTTTTGCAGTTTTGGCCAGGGCCTGGCTTGGACCTGCCACCCCTGGTATATGGGGCCGGTGCCCTACTTGAGTCACAGAAAATGCCCCATAAACACCTTGTCTTTGCATCCACTGGTGGTTCTTACTTGTAACAATTATTTCTGTGGTCTTTGCACGATCATTGTTTACTCTTTCCCTCATTTCTTTACATTTCTTTCCTTTTTTTTTTTTATACTTTTTTTGAGACAGAGCCTCAAGCTGTTCCCCTGGGTAGAGTGCTGTGGCATCACAGCTCACAGCAGCCTCCAACTCCTGGGCTCAAGTGAGTCTCCTGCCTCAGCCTCCCAAGTAGCTGGGACCACAGGCGCCCGCCCCAATGCCTGGCTATTTTTTTTGGTTGCAGCCATCATTGTTGTTTGGTGGGCCCGGGCTGGATTCGAACTTGCCACCTTAGGTGTATGTGGTATGTGGCTGGTGCCTTAGCCACTTGAACCACAGGCGCCAAGCCTCTTCCTTTTTTGTTTTTGAGACAGAGTCTTACTATGTCGCCCTCAGGACAGCTCATAGCAACCTCAACATCTTGGGCTTAAGTGATTCTCTTGCCTCAGCCTCCGGAGTAGCTGGGGCTACAGGCACCTGCTGCAACACTCAGCTGGCTATTTTTTAGAGACAGGCTTCTTGCTTTTGTGCAAGTTGGTTTCAAACTTATGAGCTTAGGCAATCCACCTGCCTTGGCCTCCCAAAGTGCTAGGATTACAGGCCTAAGCCACGGCGCCCGGCCTCTCTAATCTTGTTTAAACATGCTTTGTTGTTTTTTATTTAGTTATCCCTTCAGAAAGGTCCATTCTAAAGTGTTACATCAACTTTCCTTAACTTGTTTTCTTCTTGACGTTTATCATAATCCATCATTCTTCTGCTTCTTCATTTATTTGTGGTCTTTCCAACCCATTAAAATGTCAGCCACATGAATGCAGGGATTGTATCTATTTTGGTCATAGCGCTATCATGAACTCAATGTTTGGCATATGGGAGTGACTCAAGTATTTGTTGAATGAACTGTTACAGATGTTAAACTCTTAGTTTTATAAAATGGTGATAAATGTAGTCTAGATTTCACATGTGTCTAGGCCCTCGGTGAATACAGTGCACTCTATTAAGCACTGTGCTGAGTGTTAGGAATACAAATGTGACTAAGATAGGATTCTTATCCTAGAGTATGTTTTTCTTATTTTATTATTATTATTATTTTTTGGGTGGGAGAGGTCAGAGTCTCACTCTGTTGCCCAGGCTAGGGTGCCGTGGTGTTAGCCAAGCTTACAGCAACCTCAAGCTCTTGGGCTCAGGCAGTCCTCATGCCTCAGCCTTCCAAGTGGCTGGGACTACAGGCACCTACCAGAACACTCAGCTAATTTTTTTTTTCTGTTTTTAGTACAGATGGGGTCTTGCTCTTGTTCAGGCTGGTCTTGAACCCCTGGGCTCAAGGCATCCACCTATCTTGGCCACTAGGATTATAGGCATGAATGCTAGGATTAGAGGCATGAGCTACCACACCAGACCAAGAGTGCTTTTTCCCTTAAACTAAGCCCCTGTGGATTTCTAGTTTTAAAAAGGTTGTTACTTGGGTGGTATCTGTGGCTCAGTGGTAGGGTGTTGGCCCCAGATACCCAGGGTGGAGGGTTCGAACCCAGCCCTGGCCAAATTGCAACAAAAAAGTAGCCGGACGTTGTGGCGGGTGCCTGTAGTCCCAGCTACTCAGAAGGCTGAGCCTAGAGAATCGCCTAAGCCCAAGATCTGGAGATTACTATGAGGTGTGACGCCACAGCACTCTACCGAGGGTGACAAAGTGAGACTCTGTCTCAAAAAAAAAAAAAGCTGTTAATTTTTAGATAACTTTTGGAGTCTCCTTTTTTGCTCTTTTTGTTAATCACACTATCAGTCTTATAGTCTTCTGATCTACTAGTTGTTTACACTAACAGATCATGCATTTTTGCTCTAGTTGCGTAGTTTCACAATGAAGTCTTTATAAGCTTTTTTTTTTTTTGATACAGAGTCTTGTTAGAGTGCTATGGCTTCATAGCTCACAGCAATGCTCAAATTCCTGGGCTGAAGCGATTCTCTTGCCCCAGCCTCCCGAGTAGCTGGGACTACAGGTACCCGCCACAACACATGGCTATTTTTTGTTGCAATTATCATTGTTTAGCTGGTCCAGGCTGCGATTGAACCCACCAGACTCAGTGCATGTGGCTGGCACCATTACCACTGTGCTATGAGCACTGAGCTAGACATTTGTGTCCTTAATAGTAATAGAACTTCTCTTTTTTTTTTTTGAGACACTTTGTTACTCTCAGTAGAGTGCTGTAGTGTCAGAGCTCACAGCAATCTCAAACTCTTGGGCTTAAGCAATCCTCTTGCCTCAGTTTTTCTGTTTTTAGTAGAGACGGGGTCTTGCTTTTGCTCAGGCTGGTCTCAAACTTGTGAGCTCAAGCCATCCACCCACCTCAGCCTTCCAGAGGATTATAGGTGTGAGCCACCGAACTTGGCCTTTTTTGTTCGTTTAAAATTTATTTATTTTTATTATTTGGGATTCATTGAGGGTAGGAAGAATTAGGCTACACTGATTGCATTTGTTAGGTAAAGTCCCTCTTATAATTGTGTCCCACCCACATGAGGTGTGCCATATACTGTGACCCCGTTCCCTCTCTCTCCTCCCCTCTTCCCACTTGCTCATTCCTCTACCCCCCATTAGTTTATCTGCTCCCTTCGTGCTAGAATAGAGTACATTGGATTCTTCCTTGTCCCTTGTGATACTTTACTAAGAAGAATGTATTCCACTTAAGACTTCTCTATGTTTTCACACACAAATCAGTGGGAAGAAGTATTTGCCAGGAATTAGGAAACCTAGATTCCAGCTCTGACTCTGTGGTAGACTGTTACATAATGGTTTGGGGATTCAGTTTGCTAATCTAAAACTTGTTTTGTCTGAATCTTTATAAAGATTCCACTTGGAGAGTATCAAGATATATTTGCAGACGTTGTTAGACATTTACTAACTTTTTTTTTTAGAGACGGAGTCTCACTTTATTGCCCTCGGTAGAGTGGTGTGGTGTCACAGCTCACAGCAAGCTCCAGCTCCTAGGCTTAGGCAGTTCTCTTGCCTGTTCCTTTTGAGTAGCTGGGACTACAGGTGCCCACCACAACTCCTGGGGCTGGGTTCAAACCTGCCACCCTCAGTATATGGGGCCAGTGCCCTACCCACTGAGCCACAGGTGCCGCCCATAATATTCTCTCTTACATGCTTCCCTTGATGGGCTGTGTGAGGAAACGCTGTTTCAGAAACATTTCTTCATACCGTGCTACTTCTGACCTACTTTCTTTAGGCGCTTGTCTTTTTTTTTTTTTTCATATTTAATGTTATGAATATCTTTACTGTTATTTTGTTTCTGCTAGTGAATTAAAGTAAAAAAGTTTAGCATTTAATATAATTTATAATCATATTTAATTGATTTTGTATAGGCTGTGCAACAGGTTATTACTAACCTACTAATCGGGCAAATAGAGCTTCGGTCTGAGGATTCTCCAGATATTTTGCCGTACTCTCATGAAAGACGAGTGGAGAAGCTTGTTGTTCCTCTTGGTGAAGAACTTGCAGCCATCCAGAAGACATATGTCCAGGTAAACTGTTTTTATTACGACTCAGTGTTTTGATACATGAACCATATAATTATTTCTGCAAATAGGATTTGGCTGCTATAGTATACAGTTATCTCATTTTATATAATTAACTTGTTGGAAAATTCTTTGAAATTAAAATTTTTGGAATGAGCACTATGTTTTTTTTTTTTTTGAGA